ATTCTGGACTCACAGTCCATGTTAAGGACAACAGTTAGAAGGAATAACCAACAAACAAAAAGTCATCTATTTATGATAGAAAGAGACAACCAATTACCTTCTTCTTTAACCTTAAGAGAGAGGAAAAATAACATACACACACACACACACTAAAAAAACTGGTAAAACTTTCTTAATGGGCTGTACAGTTAAAAAAAAAAAAAATTCAGGTTTGTTGCCCATATGGTCTCTGTCACAACTAGCCAGCTATGCCACTGTAGCAGGAACACAGCCACAGAAAATACATAAATGAATGGGCATGGCAGCGTTCCAATAAAACTTTACATGCAGAAGCAGGCCTACAGATTGTAGCTTGTCAGCCCTTAATTTAAAACATTTCACTCGGGGGCCACAGATTAAAAAATCTCTACTTTACATGAGGCACCAAAACAAAAACAAAGAAATAAATACGTAAGCAACTCAAAATATGTAATCATTAAAATTACAAAATATTTAGTGAGAACTTTACTTCCATAAGGTGAAAGGTGAAAAAAGGTTATTTTCCTAAACAAATATTAGTTTTAGTAGGCATAAGTAACAGAAAAGGAGTATGTAAAACAATGGGTGTTTAGAATGATTTAAAATAATCAACATGCAGGGCTCTTCTATTGCAAGATATATCCATATAATGAGAAAATTTAGCTTTTACCTAGGTTTGATAAAAATCTAATGGTGACTACATAGTAAAGCCTATTCAGGTAAATAAATAAATAATGTGAGAAAACCTAAAATTCCAGACTGACTAAATAAGGGTAGGAAGAAATAAAGAATAGTATCACAGATTTTTCACATGCATGAAGAAAAATGGCAAATCCTACTCACTTCTAAAGATAAATCAAGAAAAACAAATTTAGTTGTTTTACCCAAAGAGCAGATTTCACTTATAAAATAATGATGCTCCCCATTCTATATCCTTTAAACACTGGCTTCTACTTCACTAAGTGTCCAAAAGCAACAACAGGAAAATCATGAGACTTGGAATCAGGCAGAGAAAGATTTCAAGCCCTGTTCTAGAAATTCCCAGTTAAATGATTTTGACAAGTTATTTGTCTTATTGAGGATCAGTTTGCTAATATGGAAAATGGGACTGATAAAACCTTCAAATGTGCAGAATAACAACTAATTATAGGCAATGTACATATAGTACACAGTATGCAATGTCCAGCAACTTTATTATTTAACACTAAATTGAAATTTCTTATGTCCATATTGTTAAAACTTTTTAATGAGCTTCTTAAAGTACGTGTTCATAAAATAGCATACTAGTCAATTACCTGAAAGCCTGTAAGAGAAGTCAGCATCCAGTGATCAAGATCTAAAATTAATGATACATTTTGCTTTGTTTACCTGCCATAATTGCACGAACATGATTTCTTACACAAATTCTAAATTGAGATTTTTATAAGACAAAAGTAATTATCTGAGATAACTATGTGACAATATAAACTGTTCCGGAAGGGATTCCACTCCCAACTATGCCACTAACACACTGAGTAAGCCACTTCAAGTGAACCCCTCAGACTCATCACTCCCAAACCAAAAAAGCTACGTTAGCAATCCCTTGTCTTCTTCAGTCTTCTAGCTCTAAGAGTTATTACTGCAACATAATTAAGCCTCTCCATATTTGCTAGTAAAGAAAGGAACTGAGATATCCTAATACTGCCAGAATGGAGTGCAGAGAAATCCCAATCGTAATCTGATAGCATTACAGTAGTTCAGATGAAATATTACAGTTTAGATGAAACAAGGACAGCTTGGCCAGCTTAAAAACAAAAAGGTACATATTGCACAAAAGTTTTTAAAAAATATAAATACTTGGGGCGCCTGGGTGGCTCAGTGGGTTAAAGCCTCTGCCTTCGGCTCGGGTCATGATCTCAGGGTCCTGGGATTGAGCCCCACGTCGGGCTCTCTGCTCAGCAGGGAGCCTGCTTCCCTTCCTCTCTCTCTGCCTGCCTCCCTGACTACTTGTGATCTCTCTGTCAAATGAATAAATAAAATCTTAAAAAAAAGAAAAATACAAATACTCAAGTGCCTAGAATAAAATAGCCTTGGTTAGTTTCTAAAGATATTGCTTTAAGGAAAAAATTATTTTTGTAGACCAAATTGCAATATCAAGGTACTAACCTTAGCAAGAACATGTTCAGTATCTATTATATCTTCAAGGTACTATGAGTATGTGAAATCAAATTACATAAGTAACATTTTATCCAAGTGAAAAGTCATCAATTGGGACACCTGGGTGGCTCAGTTGGTTAAGCGGCTGCCTTCGGCTCAGGTCATGATCCCAGCGTCCTGGGATCGAGTCCCACATCGGGCTCCTTGCTCAGCGGGGAGCCTGCTTCTCCCTCTGCCTCTGCCTACCACTCTGTCTGCCTGTGCTCATGCTCTCTCTCTCTCTAACAAATAAATAAATAAAATCTTTAAAAAAAAAAAATTTTTAAAAAAGTCATCAATTAAAAGTTGCATAGAAAACAAATCACAAAAAGAAATATTTTTTAAAATCTCATTAACAATAGCACCAAAATGAATAAAACACTTGGGAATATAACTTGTATGCTGAAAACTACCAAAGAGCTGGAAGAAAGTAAAGACAACACCTGTGTTTATAGACTGAAGATTTAATATTGTTAAAATGTCCATATTACCCAAAGTGATCTACAAATTCAATGTAGTCCCTATCAAAATCCCAATGGCATTTTTATGGAAATAGGGAAAAAAAAAATCCTAAAATTCATATGGAATTTCAAAGAACGCTAGAGCGAAAATCTTGAGAAAGAAAAAGCCGTGTGCCTCACACTTCCTGATTTCAAAATATACTACAAAGCAACAGTAATCAAAGCAGTATGGTACCAGCATAAAATTCCCACAGGAAAATGGAAGACGCTTCCTATCATTGGTCATGGCAATAATTCCTTGCACATTACACCAAAAGCACTAACTACAAAAGCAAAAACCGACAATATCGATTACATCAAACTAAAAAGATTCAGCAAAGGAAACACTCAACAGAGTAAAAAAGTAACCTACAGAATGGGAGAAAATATCTGCAAGCCACACATATGATAAGGTGTTAATATCCAGAAGGTACAAAGACCTTCTTCGACTCATCAACAACAATCCTAAAAACCGGCAAAGGACCTTAATAGACATTTCTTCAAATACAGAACAGATAACTTGAAAAGATGCTCAACATCATTATCTATCAGGGAAATGGAAATCAAAATCAACAATGAGATGCTGTTAGAAGGATCACTATCAAAAAAATAAATAAATAACCAGAAAATAACAAATTTTGGAGAGGATATAAAGAAATCAGAACCCCTGCACACTGCTAGTGGGGAATGTAAATTGGTGTAACCTCTATGAAAAACAGTATGACGTTCTTCACAAAATTAAATATATAATTACTATATGATCCAGCAAATCCCATTTCTGGGTGTGTGTGTGTGTATATATATATGTATATCTCCAAGAGAACTGAAAACAGGACCTGGGAGAGGTATCTGCAACATTATTCAAAAGAGCCAAGAAATGGAAATAAACTAAATATTTATCAACAGACAAATGGATAAAGTGGTATATATACACCACTGAATATTATTCAGCCTTAAAGAAAGGATATCCTGTCAAATGCTATAACATGGATGAACCTCGAGAACATTAAGCTAAACTAAGTGAAATAAGCCAGTCTCTAAAAAGACAAATATTGCATGATTTCACTTTTATGAAGTATTTAAAGGAGTCAAACTTTTAGAAACAGAAAGCAGATGGGACACCTGGCTGGCTCAGTCAGTGGAGTGTGTGATTCTTGATCTCAGGGTCATGGGTTCTGAATTCTATACTTTGGGTATAGAGATTAGTTAAATATAAAATCTTTTAAAAAAACAAAAAGGAAGGAAGGAAGGAAGCAAGTAAATAAGCAGAATGGTGGTAGCCAGAGGCTGGCAAGGGAGAAAAGAGGAGGAATTGGTCAAAGGATGTAGAGTTTCAGTTTTTTCAAGATGAAAAAGTTCTAGAGATCTGTTCCAGAACAACCTGCGTACAGTTAACACTCTATACCTTACACTCAAAAATGGTTTAGGATGGTAAATTATACTACTTGTTTTTACTATAATAAAAAAACGTTATACAGAAAATGACCCTGCAGTGTTCAGACAAGTGGGAAATTATTTTTAACTAGATTTTTTTTTTTAAATCTCTCAAGTTATTGACCTTAGCCTTTGGTATGAACTTTAACTAGTAATGGCCTTTGCTAACAAAGCAATTATACCTGCAGTGCACCACACACATGCACGTACACACACAAAGACCTCCTGAAATTCTCAATTCTGAAATCGATAGTTAAACTCATCTTCTTAAAAGTCAAGTCAAAATACTACAGAAGAAAATGAATGCTGGACACATAATGCTGATCCCTAACCTTCACAGTGTAAGTTATGTGACAGCTAGTTTCATCATGGGAAAGTTAAGCACAGCTCCTATCCAAATTACTAAAATCAGAATCTCAAATTCCAAGTAAGGCCAAACTAATGAAGTTTTTTTATATAAATCTTCATTTCAAAAAATGTGCTAATTTTTTCAAGAAACTCAGTAATCAAGTGAACTAGGCTGGCCTGACTCCCAATAAGAGATAATCAAAGGTTATGGTAAGAACTATATTAAAAACCGTTTATGGGGGCGGCGCCCAGGTATTTCAGTCCAATAACCGTCCAACTCTTGATTTCGGTTCAGGTTGTCGTTCTCAGGTTCGCGGGATCAAACCCAACAATGGGCTCTGCATCTGGCACAGAGTCTGCTTCAGACTCTCTTACTCCTCCCCACTGTGCCTCTGCTCACTCGCATGCATACTCTCCCTCTCCAAAATAAAAATAAATAAAATATCTCAAAAAAAAATTAAAAATAAATTAAAAATAAAAATCATTTGTATGCATTGCAAAGACACATGAAAGGAGTACCCTTACCTTCATCAAAGTCAGCATCATCTTCTGTGTGTTGTGGGAAAGGAAAGCAGTTGGTAATTTCAAGACGATCTTCTACAACCAAGCCCAAAAGCACTCCTTGAACCACTTCAGTTCCTTGTCCTTCTTCCTGATAATGTTTTATTATTTTTAATACCACCTAAAAGAAAATAACAGAAGTGAACTTAACCATCCTTACAGTTTATATTTCATTTCAAAGGAAAAAATGAACCATACTATGGGTTTGCAAAAATCACAAAATTATGTAACAGAACTAAGTTTCTTATGAATCAATTCCTTTACTCTGATACAAATAATAAAACTCACATAATCTAAATGTATATCTGTAACTTCTGGTGTTTGAAGACATGTCAAAAATGTCCACATACAGCACTCATGACCTTCAGGTCAAGGCTTCCAAAAGGTCTGGCATCCAGGAGCTCCTTCAAACAGTATTACCTCAATCCAAAGTTATTACAGAGGAAGTGCTCCTATTAGTGTCTGTTAACAGCATCATAATTTCCTGACAGAGATGATAAAACCATCAATAACACACAGAGATAAAAAACTCAATTACCTGAAAACCTGAAAGCAGACTGTTCCCTTGACAATTTCTCAATACCTCAACATGGTTCCTGAACAGAGTATCTCATTATTTCAAAGAAGCAACAATGGGAACGTTTGGTAACAAAGAAAACAAAACAAAGACTCTAGCACCACCTGATTTTCCTCAACCAAGATACACCACATAACCCCTAATGGAAAACTGGCTCTTACATTACTCTGTCCTTTAACGTTTCCATAAAGATAAAGTGGTAACACTCTAAGGTTGGAATACTTTAAAAGTTCACAATACCAATAATCATTAGTTATAACTCCTTGAAAATAAAGTTTTTAATATTAAGTGCTTTGAATGGCACTTGGCACACAGTATTTAGTAACAGTAGTAGTAACAGTATTTAGTATAAACACATGGCCTGAAGACTAAAGGGCAACACAATCTAAAATACAGTAAGTCCTCAGAAGGAAAAATAAGTCTAACAAAAAAATGCTAATTAGTATTTCTTGATTAGTGTTTTACTTAAAACACATTTTGACAAAAATTAATCATCAATAACTAGTTAACTAAAAGGTTACAATCAGTGAACATTATGTGCTAGGCAACATTCTAATTATTTCATGTGTATCATCCAATCATGTAATTCTCAGAACTATGTTAAGAGAAAGGAATATAATCATTCTACAAGTAAGACAACGAAAGCAGTGGGACACCTGGGTGGCACAGTGAGCTGAGCATCCCCTCTTGGTTTTAGCTCAGGTTGAGATCTCGGGCTCATGGGATTAAGCCCCATATGTGGCTCCATGTTCAGCAAGGAGTCAGCTTAAGACTGTATCTCTCCCCCGACCTTTGCCCCTCCCCTCTCACTTTTCTAAAATAAATATTTTTTTAACTTCACTTTCTATTTATTTTTTATTAACATACAATGTACTATTTGATTCAGGGGTACAAGTCTGTGATTCATGAGTCTTACACAATTCACAGCACTCACCATAGCACATACCCTCCCCAAATCCATCACCCCACCACCACATCTCACCCAGCCCCCTCCCCTCCAGCAACCCTCAGTCTGTTTCCTGAGATTGAGTCTGTTATGGTTTATCTCCCTCTCTGGTTTCATCTTGTTTCATTTTTCCCTCCCTTCCCCTATGATGCTCTGTCTTGTTTCTCAAATTCTTCACAGAGAGATCATAAGATAATTGGCTTTCTCTGCCTTATTTTGCTTAACATAATACCCTCTAGTTCCATCCACATCGTTGCAAATGGCAAGATTTCGGGTTTTTAATGGCTGTATAATATTCCTGTGTGTGTGTGTGTGAGAGAGAGAGAAAAAAAGAGAGAGAGAGAGAGAGACATCTTTATCCATTCATCTGAATCCATTCATCTGATGATGGACATCTGGGCTCTTTCCATAGTCTGGCTATTGTGGACATTGCTGTTATAAACACAGGGGTGCATGTGCCCTGGTTCAGATCACTACATTTGCACCTTTAGGGCAAATGCCCAGTAGTGCAATGGCTGGGTTGTAGGATAGCTCAATTTTCAATTTTCTGAGGAACCTCCATACGTTTTCCAGAGTGGCTGCACCAGCTTGCATTCCCACCAGCAGTGTAGGAGGGTTCCCCTTTCTCCACATCCTCTCCAACACCTGTCGCTTCCTGATTGGCAAATTTCAGCCATTCCAACTGGTGTGAGATGGTATCTCACTGTAGTTTTGATTTGTATTTCCCTGATGCTGAGTGATGTTGAGCACTTTTTCATGCATCTGTTGGCCCTTTCAATGTCTTCTTTGCAGAAAGGTCTGTTCATATTTTCTGCCCATTTCTTGATCAGATTATGTGTTCTTTGGATGTTGAGTTTGATAAGTTCTTTACAGATTTTGGATACTAGTCCTTTATCTGATATGTCATTTGCAAATACCTTTTTCTATTCTGTTTTATTTTGGTTTTCTTGTTTCCTATGCTGTGCAAAAGTTTTTGATCTTCATGAAATCCCAATAGTACATTTATGCCCTTACTTCCCTTGCCTTGGCGATATTTCTAGGAAGAAGTTGCTGCAACTGAGGGTGAAGAGGTTGCTGCCTGTGTTCTCCTCAAATTTTGATGGACTCCTGTCAAACACTGAGGTCTTTCATCCATTTTGAGTCTATTTTGTGTATGTGGTGTAAGGAAATGGTCCAGTTTCATTCTTTTGCATGTAGCTGTCCAATTTTCACACCACCATTTGTTGAAGAGATTGTCTTTTTTCCATTGGACATTCTTTCCTGCTTTGTCAAAGATTAGTTGACCATAGAGTTGAGGGTCCATTTCTGGGCTCTCTATTCTGTTCCATTGATCTTTCCATCTGTTTTTGTGCCAATACCATACTGTCTTGATGATTACAGCTTTGTAACAGAGCTTGATGTCTAGATTGTGATCCCGCCAACTCTAGTTTTCTTTTTCAGCATTCCTCTGGGTATTTGGGGTCTTTTCTGGTTCCATATAAATTTTAGAATTATTTGTTCCATTTCTTTGAAAAAAGTTGATGGGATTTTGATAGGAATTGCATTAAATGTATAGATTGCCCTAGGCAGCATAGACATTTTCACAATATTTGTCCTTCCAATCCAGGAGAATGGAGTATTTTTCCATTTCTTTGTGTCTTCCTCAATTTCTTTCATGAGTATTCTATAGTTTTCTGAGTATAGATTCTTTGCCTCTTTGGTTTAGTTTATTCCTAGGTATCTTATGGTTTTGAGTGCAACTGTAAATGGAATCAACTCCTTAATTTCTCTTTCATCTGTCTTCTTGTTGGTGTATAGAAATGCAACTCATTTCTGTGCGTTAATTTTATATCCTGACACTTTAGTAAATTCCTGTATGAGTTCTACCAATTTTCGAGTGGAGTCATTTGGGTGCTCCACATAAAGTATCACATCATCTGCAAAGAGTAAGAGTTTGACTTCTTTGCCAATTAGGGTGACTTTTATTGCTTTTTGTTGTCTGATTGCTGTGGCTAGGACTTCCAGTACTATGTTGTATAACAGTGGTGATAGTGGACATCCCTGCCGAGTTCCTGAACTTAGGGGAAAAGCTCTCAGTTTTTCCCCATTGAGGATGATATTTGCCGTGGGTTTTTCATAGATGGTTTTGATGATACTGAGGTATGTACCTTCTATCCCTACACTGTGAAGAGTTTCAATCAAGAAAGGATGCTGTACTTTGTCCAATGCTCTCTCAGTATCTATTGAGAGTATCATATGGTTCTTGTCCTTTTTTTTACTAATGTATCACATTAATTGATTTGCCGATGTTGAACCAACCTTGAACCAACCTTGCTGCCCAGGAATAAATCCCACCTGGTCGTGGTGAATAATCCTTTTTATGTACTGTTGGAACCTTCTGGCTAGTGATTTGGTGAGAATTTTTGCATCCACGTTCATCAGAGATATTGCTCAGTAATCTTCCTCAGTCTTTGTCTGGTTTTGGAATCAAGGTAATGCTAGCCTCATAAAATGATTTTGGAAGTTTTCCTTCCATTTCTATTTTTTGGAAACAGTTTCAGGAGAACAGTTATTAATTCTTCTTTAAATGTTTAGCAGAATTCCCCTGGGAACCTGTCTGGCCCTGGGCTCTTGTTTGTTGGGAGATTTTTGATGACTAATTCAATCTCCTTACTGGTTATGCATCTGTTCAGGTTTTCTATTTCTTCCTGGTTCAGTTTTGGTAGTTTATACGTCTCCAGGAATGCAACCATTTCTTCCAGATTGTCAAATTTGCTGGCATATAGTTACTCATAATATGTTCTTATAATTGTTTGTATTTCTTTGGTGTTGGTTGTGATCTCTCCTCTTTCATTCACAGTTTTACTAATTTGGGTCCTTTCTCTTTTCTTTTTGTTAAGTCTGGCCAGGAGTTTATCAATCTTCTTAATTCTTTCAAAGAACCAGGTCCTAGTTTCATCGATCTGTTCACTGTTCTTTTGGTTTCTATTTCACTGATTTCTGCTCTGTTCTTTATTTCTCTTCTCCTGCTAGGTTTAAGTTTTATTTGCTGTTCTTTCTCCAGCTCCTTTAGGTGTAGGGTTAGGTTGTGTATTTGAGATCTTTCATGTTTATTGAGAAAAGCTCATATTGCTATATACTTTCCTCTTAGAACCGCCCTTGCTGCATTGCAAATATTTTGAACAGTTGTGTTTTTCATTTGTTTCCATGAATTTTTTAATTCTTCTTTAATTTCCTGGTTGACCCATGCATTCTTTAGTAGGATGCTCTTTAGCTTCCATGTATTTGGAGCTCTTTCCAACTTTCCTGTTGGGGTTGAGTTCTACTTTCAAAGCACTGTTGTCTGAAAATATGCAGGGAATGATCCAATCTTTTGGTACCAGTTGAGACCTGATTTGTGACCCAGGATGGGATCTATTCTGGAGAATGTTCCATCTGCACTAGAGAAGAACGCGTATTCTGTTGCTTTGGGATGGGATGTTCTGAATTTATCTGTGATGTCCATTTGGTCCAGTGTGTCATTTAAAGCCTTTATTTCCTTGTTGATCTTTGGCTTAGATGATCTGTCCAGTTCAGTGATGGGGGTGTTAAAGTCCCCTACCATTATTGTATATTTGTG